CACACACACACACACACACACACACACACACACACACACACACACACACACACACACACACACACACACAGAGAGAGAGAGGAATTGCATCCCGCATCACTGATGCTTGGGGTATCACATTAAAAAACAAGTGTGTTCTTGACTGGTCCAGGAGCCACTGCAGTGCCCATCGCATCGCACTCACGCACACATGCACACAGGGACTGTTCAGTTTGGATTACATCAACTCCATGCTGACACTGCAGAAGGACCTCAAGAATGTACCTAACAACAGGAGGACAATTAGCAGTGTTATCTACTGCTCCCAAGTAGGGTTTTCTATGCACATCGGGTGTTGGTCCCCAGTCCCACCAAATTAAGAAGACTCTGGGGGGACAAAAAGAAGAAAAAAAAGGAGAAAAAGAGGAATGGAATGGGAAAGGGCTAAAGAAAAAGGAATGAAAATGTTTACTTTTTCTGTGATAACTAAACAAGCTCTTTCTGAAAGTATAAAAAAGGCTTTCAAGTGTTGTATTTTAGAAGGCCTTGTATCATATGCTTACTTTAGGATTTTATGAATTCTAACTACTATTTATGTTCTTAAAGCACTTCCATTGTTCTGTTTATTTCTGAAGTACCTGTGGGACATCAGCAGTAATTTCCCCCTCAGGATGGCCAATTGAAGATCAATCATGACTTATTGCAAGTAAGTATTCAGGGATGCAAGCAACAAGATATTCAGCAAATCCAGCACTTGCTCCTTTAAAGTAAGTTTATACTCTGCAATGAGTCACACATATACAGTGTTTATCCAAGTTACCAGTGCTACAGGAAAAAAAAAAGCCCATTAAATTTACAAATACATAAAAATCACAGCTGTAAGCACCCAACTGCTTACACAAGGACTTGTTTCTATGACTGAATATTGATTTTTTAATAACGTGTCATTATACCAATGTTGATACAGCAACTATCTTCTCAGAGTATGCAGTTTAATACTAAAAAGAAGCTGGCTTTAGGAAATATCAAATCCACACCTATTCACATGCTTTTTAAATGTCCTTCTTGGTCATTACTATAGCAATGCAAAGCCACAACTGCTTTTTTCCCCACCTTGCACCTAACAAAGAAAATGGACTCGCCAGTTTAGAAACAGCTCAGTCTAAGGCAACAAACTTCACTGATCTGCTTCTTAATAAAATACTGCAGAACCTCTTCAATCGTTACTGGAAACCAAGAGGCTATGTTGGAAAAGATGCACGTTTTTCAAACTTCCTCAGTACAAGAAATCAGTGCATAAAAACGCACTCTGTAGGCCCTTATTCTGGAATCAAATACGTATGGGGAAAACCATATGCTTGTGAAAAGCCTGGTGACTTCACCAGGATTGCTTAAGAAGTCTGAGGGTAGGATCTGGCCCCAATTACAAATGTGGAGTGGAATTAGCACTGTAAACTCCCCCAGCCTTCATCTTCCAGTTCCCTTCAGTGAGAGAAATAATTAAACTGATTAAAAACATGAGATGCATTTTAGCTAGCAACTTACACTTCCTACAAAACAGGATGCAAATATGTTGAAGTCCATCATTTTAAGATAGTATGTTGCAAACATATTAGTAGCATGCCTAAATATCACACATTACGTTTCCTATAATCATGCAAGAGAAATTGTCTTCATTCACACACAGAAAACAACTAGCAGTAGTCCTCTAAAGCAATAAAGGTCTAGGTCTGGGTCTTTTAGCAGATAATGATCTACTCTGATCCAGAAATCCTTTAAAAGGGGGAATTCAAGGGAAATATTCATAGATTCAGAGTTCTGCAGTCTGAAGGGACAGCTAATCATTTGACCTTCTTTCATGAAACAGGCATGGAGCTTCCCTGCCTACATCAACGCAGCTGTAAGAGGCTGAATGAGAGAATCTCCTAGGGTTAAAAACAAACTCATTTAAAACAAACAAAACAAAACAGCCTCAGATTCAACAGCCTGACATAAAGAAGGAAGCTACTACAGCCCCAGCAACATTCTTCTATTCAGCAACCACCAGTGCTGTGTGAACACACACACCCTTTCATCTGGTCTGAATGAATTAACAGCCAGCTACTGGGTCTTGTTATACCTTGTCACCTTCCTCTACTCCTCAGCCCCTGACAAAGTACCATTGGCAGCCTTGAAAGCCAGCCAGTGTTCAAAGCACAATAAAAAGCAGTGTCACATTATTACCTGAATCCACTGAGTCCTCCTGTCAACAACGACGTTTATGCAATCACATTTTTCTATTTTTAAAAACTTCTCTCTTGCCTCATCGCTCTGTGTGAAAAACAACACAAAAGAGAAAATTGATTAATTGTATGCACTCCCAGCAGATATTTAGGTTCTTTGTTTTCTGCTTCATCTCATAAAGACATTAAACAAGAAAAAGTCCTTTCCACAAAATCATTCATTGACCAAACAGAAGCAACAGGTATCAGTTTGGAGAGGTAGATGAGGTACCACAGCCCACCACTTGTAGAGCTTCACAGGAGAATGCAGCTCTCCTGTGCCCATACCCTCTGCCCTCTTCCCAGGGCATCCTGCCCGGCAGCACTGGGACCAATGCCAAACAGACACTCAGTGCCACCAAAAGCAGAAATATGGGGGGAGAGAAAGCTACTTAAGTTTCTTTCAGTTTCAACAGTAAAGACATGTCTCTGATAACCACGGCAGTGATGTAAAAATAATACTTGCAAAATTACTTTGACAGTAGATTACTTTATCATAAAGTTTCCCTGAATTTTGCATCTACATTACTGACGTAGCAACTCCACTTAAAATTCTCAAAAGGGTCTTTTAGTGTCTGTGTTTACTCCTTACTTCACATATTAGCAGCTTTAAGTTTTAGTGTCAAATTCTCCTACTGATCCACCAATGCACCAAAACATACACTTCATAGAAGACATTTCTACATTTAAATAAGGAAGAAAAAAGCCCATATGGTAGAAACTCAACTGAAGATACAACCTCAGCCCTCCACCCCACACCTCCCCAACCTCTCTGAATGGCCAGAAGACACATCATAAGTAAAGGAAACTGGATTTCCAGTACTGGAAATGCTTTTACTGTAATTATTTCATCACTTTCTTTGAATGTAAACAAAACAAACCCCTTCACTTACGGAGATGCAACTCAACCACGTGTACATGATCCCTTGCCTACCTCCACAAGGGCATACAAAATTAAACCCAGACATATAGCATGGGGTGGGGGATATAGCTGTGATACCTTTCCTGCTCAGCCCTTTCAGGGCTCAGGCATTTGGCAATATGGATGCCTGCCAAAAAGTTTTGTTGCAAGATTTTGGTCACAGTGATCTGATTGAACCATTCCCAAAAAAGGTGTCTGGAAAGACAAAATTTTGGCAGCCTCGGAACAGAGAGTTTAAACCTGGGTTTAGCCAGATGCCACACTAAGTAAATAGCACAGTCTAGTTCAGGGCTGAGAAGAGAGGTGACCTTTGCCTCTGGCATCTGCTGCCAACCAGGGGAGGGCCACCTCCCAAGCAGGGACGGGGACCAGCTCTCTCTCCTGCTCCAGGTGACCTTCCTACCGCAGCCTGGAGCCATCTATGCTCAACATAGAGCAGCCAAGAGCTGGGCCAGGCATCAGCAGGGAAAAACATGTCAAAAAAAAGAAATTTCACTTAATGGGGACAGAAAATTGGAGGGAGGATGGGGAGAGGCTGAGAACCTGGTTAGGCACAGAGAGTTGCACAGTGGCTGTGCAGCTGCAGCACTGCCAATGAACCATGTTCAGGTCTCTATGACACCAGTGGACACTGTTTGCCATTGGTTTGCTTCCTGCAAAAATCTCTGGTGTACCACAGGTAAGCTGCAAGAGAGAACACTGATGAGTTCAAGCACTCAGCCCTTGAAACGGAGGAAAATGTGGCAGGTGAGTGCTGCCTGCTGTGGCTGCCTTCACTCTTGGCATGTGGGATGTACCTGAGCCGTGCATCAGGACTGCGGGGTAAGAGCACATGACAGCTCTAACAGCTGTTGGCAGCAAGGATGGCAGCTGCCCTGACACTCCCTGCCACTCTCTCAGTGCCCAGGCAGACGAGCTGTGCCTTGGAGAGCTGCCACAGAGCTCTGATGCAGCACTGTGCCAGTCATTTAAACCCAGGACCTCTCAAGTGGCCATTAACGAGTTCCTAACCAACCTGAACTCTGGCTTCTCTCAACTAAAAATAATGAACAGTCACAATAGAAGGGGACTGTATTTCCAGCACATGAAATACTACATAGCATGGAGACATGTCAGCGGCAAGGCTGTAAGAACCTCCTGTTTTAACTCTCTTCCTGCAAAGAAGGGGTGGCGCTTCCCAAATCATTCGTCAAACCCTCAAGCCTGACACTGGCAAACAGAGTAAGATCATAAGGAAATGACAAACTTCTTCAGTAGAATTTGAATAGTGTGCCATAAATAAAAATTTGGGCCAAACATGGGACAGCAGGGAAAAAACAAGATGCTGAATAGGGAGTTTGCCCAAGGCTTGCCACTACAGCTGTACCCTTGGCACTAGGCAGGGGACTTGCAGAAAGAGGAAGACTTGACAACTGTCCATGCATTTACAACACTTAAAATTAGGTTTGCACAAATCCGTTTTACATCTGAGTCACACTTCAAACTAAGTTATAGAATAATAGGATTGTTTGGGTTGAAGGGATCTTAAAGATCATCTATAATGTTGCAATGTGCTTGTGTATGAAAATAAAATTAACAGCAAATAGCTGAAACTGGTTTAGATATTATGCTATCTTAGACGTTCATAGCATATAACAGCAAATAACAGAGCATAGGTCTACAGTCAACCAAATGCAGAATGCAGGAAGACAGTACTTAAAGGTAAATAATTCAGGACTTGAATTGTTTAAGGTAAATAATTCAGGGCTCTAATGAATACACTGACTGTAAACAGGGAGTTCCACTGCTAGGAACCCTCCAAACTGTCCTACATCCAATCCTCGGGAGTGCAGAGCAGAAAACCATCAGCAGAAACATGCCTCAAACATTCCTGGCTATAGCAGCAAGGACTCTAAGACAAAGGGAGTCTTGGACAGGAAAAGGTGGCTTCAAATGCTGGTTCCAGCACCCTATACTGTGCCCATGAGCTGCTAAAAAGGAGATGCTGTTTAAGAAACACCACTTGGGCAAACAGTGAGGTGGCTGGGAAGCAAGAAAACTGACTGACCCAACAGAAGCATTGGAGAAACCCCTCAAGGATAGCCAACACAGCAGTTTGGTCTAGCAGTGCTAAAAACACAGAAAACTGTGGGTGAGGCTATAAGCTCTTTGCTAAATATGACAGCCCAGGGCCCCTGGTGGTCTAGTGGTTAGGGTGCTGCACTCTCACCGCTGCGACCCGGGTTCGATTCCCAGCCCCCTGGGCAGTTGGAGCTCGTCAGCCCTGTGAGCCCTGTAAGGCAATCCATCTAAGAGAAGGTCACTCTAAAAACAAAGCTACATCCTGAGACCCTCACTGCCACTGTCCAAGCTTGCTCAGCCCCGGCAGATGAACCTCAGGATCAAAGGGTGGGCTCAGTTCAGCGCACGCTGTGTCTCACCTAAAAAATCCACTGCGCAGGCTCGAAGGGTAATGACCTTTCCCAAATCTTCGCTCACGAAGACTGGCCATATATATAAATATGACAGCCCATGGATGAAAAGAACCCAGACAAATCTCCGAGTCCTCCTCACTTCCCTTGCCAATCTCTCTTCCCTATCCTTTTCGATTGGCCATTATCAAATGCTTTTATCAACACCTGGGAATTCCTGTGCATCTGTCAAAAAGCATCTCAGCCAGCCAAATCCCATCAACAACCACGGTATAAATCCTCATAAATTCCTAAATTACCAGCAAGTCTCAGCCTTTCCAGCCTGCACCCTCTAGTTCCAAGGAGCCATTCACAAGCAGCAACTATTCCTGACCGAGCAAGGAAACTGTATTAAAGTGGACATACAGCAAATTGTCAGTTATACAACGTTGTTGCCGCTAAAAAACCTCAGAGGATTTTTATGCTGTCTCACACATACAAAAGGAGTATGTAAAAACACCCTGGAGTTGCCTCACACCCTCTTACAAGACCTACATGAAACCAGACTATGGAAAAAAATCCTGCCTTTCTCTGCCAATCAAGGGCACATCAGCAGCAATAGCCAAGGTGCTGCAAGGTTGCTGACGATCCTGGAAATACTGTATGGGAACATGCCTGCAGATCAGCAATCAAAAACACAACTGCTGTTCTTGCTCCATGCCCAGCGGAGACAGAGATCTCATCGCCAGCAGAGATCTGGGTCACCACCAGGAAGCTGGAGTTATCCCAGCACCATCATCTTTTAGGTAACGCTCCCAAAAGGGGAAACAAATATGTGGCAAGGTTTCATTTGACAAGATGCTGGGTGTAAACAAAACTAACAACTGGGGGTTTCTTTGCTCCCCGGTGATACCATCCGAATGGAAAAAAACCTCAACCAATATCGCCTGATGCATTGTATGCAAACTACTTTGCAGAAAGAGTTTGCTGCAAATGCAAGGTTCACTGTGCAGTGTCTCAAGAGCTGGCAAATGCACCTTGATTGCCAAAGTCTGCCTCCTCCCAAAAAACAGGCTAAAAAGTATTTGTTTGCCTATCCTGTACTTCAAAACTGAAAACCCAAACATGGGGAAGGAAAAAGCTAGAAAGACAATGAAGTATCAATTTTAAACCTACGATGTTTGTGAAAAATAAAGGTTCTGAGTCTCCATGTAATTAAGTAGCTGACACTTATCCAGCCGCAGGACTGAAAACTGAATCAACTTTGTATCTCTGCTAACCAAAGCTTTTGCAATCTTCCTGTATGCCATTTCCTTGTTTACATCTCATATGGTATAGGAGTTCAACTTTTGGAGAAATACGAATGGTGAACCTAGAAACTGAAATGTGATATTATTTACAGAATAGGAGAGCATGCCGTTCACAGGAATTCGTAGGCGCACACATCCCAATCCTGTTCCTCACCCACTCCTGAAATCCTGTACCAACCAGATTAGCCAATGTGCACATGCCTGCACTCTTGCGGAAACAATAGTCTCTTTCAGTCCATACAATCTTCTGAAGAACCAGGCAAAAACGTCATGGGAGAAGTTAGGAAATATCTGCAGAAAACAGTACACAAGATGAAAGGCAGAATGAGCCTTTTAACTTGCACAGTGTACATGGAGGATAAGTGTAGAACCTTGTTACCTAGCCCCTCTTCCAAAGGGCTTTTTTTCCATCCCCCCAGGATGGAAA